GCACTAGCAGAAACGATAAGGATAACAGAAACGATATGAAAGAGGCAAGTGACCTTACTAATAAAGATTTAAAAGACATATTTACGTCACTTATCGAAAAATTAGATTGTTCAGTGAATGCTAAGCTCAAAAAAATCCAAGATAAGCTCGATAATGTAGACGAAAATATGAAAGTACTTAGAAAAGATCTCAATGATGTCCAGTTAGCATTAGAGGATCAGGACCTCAGAATTACGGACTTGGAAAGTCTTAAGGTGGAAAAGATTGACTCTCAATGCAAGAGAATATGTGAAATGGAAGACTCTGTGAAAGAACTACAAACGTACATCTTACACCAGGAAAACAGATCAAGGAAATATAATTTGCTATTCTATGGTATTCCTAGAGTCGATCAAGAAAACACAACCGAGGTAGTCCTGAGCTGTTTGGAAAAGAATCTACATATGCCACCTGAAGATATCCAGAGCATTATTATACAAAACTCACACAGGATACCCAGGAACCCACAGAACACGTATAAACCTGAAGCACCAGATGCACTGATAGTAAAATTTTCGCGAATGGAGGACCGAAACAAAGTGCTGAACCAAGCAAGGACAGTGACCTTACCAAAAGGAATGGCAGTCAGGACAGATTTACCAAATCAGCTGAAAAAGAAAAGGGGCGAGCTCGCACACAAAGCATATCTCATGAGGAAAAATGATCACGTCAAGACCAGAATCATAGAAACCAAAGACAGTGTGATCCTACAGTTCCGTGCTAAAGATGAAAGTGTGTGGAAGCAATGCGAGTAAGCTTTCCCTTCACAACTGGTGTATCAGAAACATCTGTCGTTTCTGCAGTATATCTTTCATTGAATCATAACTTGTATATGTAACTATACCAGGTTCTAAGTTAAGGTATCTCATTATTGTACATTTATATACCTATATGAATTGAATAACCTTATTGTTCTCATAATAACCCTCACTTTTTTGATAATATCAAATCTATTGTGAAACTGGTATTTGATAACATGCTGGAAGGTGTTTTTGTTTTTAGTATGAATGATGGGTATGTAAAAGTTTTTTTTTGTATATGCTGGCTTAATTTGCAAATATTTTACTATGACTAGATTTAAGATTACATCAGTCAATTGCAGGGGACTTCATGATAGTAAAAAAAGAAAAGATGTTTTTAACTATTTAAGGGACTTAAAGTCCTCCATATTTTGTTTACAAGACACTCACTGTACCGAGTCTGAAAAAAAATCAATTTATGCCCAATGGGGTCATGATATATTAATGAGCTCAGGTAGAACTGATGCTAGGGGTACCCTAACACTTTTGAACAATAATATAGAGCTAAAAATTTTGACAGTGAAATATGACAACAATGGAAATTACATTATATCTAATATCTTAGTTGAAAATAGATACACAGTTACCCTTGTTAACTTATATGGCCCAAATAAAGATGATTCTCATTTCTACTCTGAAATAGGAAATTTGATTGAAGATATTGAATCAGATTTTGTCATTATGTGTGGTGATTGGAATGTTGTTCAGGATTTTCAACTAGATTGTTATAATTACATCAGAGAAAACAATTTAAAAAATAGAGAAGAAATTGAAAAACTTAAGAATAAATTTAATTTAATAGATCCTTGGAGGATAAATAATCCCGATTCTAAAATGTACACATGGAATCGAAGGAACCCATTGAAGCAGGCGCGACTTGATTTTTTTCTCATCTCTGAGGAGTTAATGTCAATAATAGAAGAAGTTAAAATTTTGCCTGGGTACAAAACAGATCATTCTATAATAGAAATTGAGCTCATAATTAATGATTTCCATCGAGGTAAGGGATTTTGGCGTTTCAACAATTCTCTTTTGAGAAATAAGGATTATGTTTCAAATGTAAAACAAGTAATCAAGGAGACACTGTCAGAATATAAAGGCCCAGATTCTAATACCAGTACTGATTCAAGTTTAACAATTCCTGATGATTTGTTCCTTGATATATTGCTAATGAAAATAAGAAGCATGACCCTGTATTATTCAGCTAAAAAAGTTAAGGAAAGAAATAATAGAAAACAAGAACTACAAACTCAAATAAAAGTTGTATTGGAGTTGTACAATGCATATCACTTAGAAATATATTCAAATATGCTTAATGACCTACAGATTGAACTAGAAGAAATAAGAAAATATGAACTAAATGGATTACTATTAAGGAGTAGGTGTAAGTGGATTGAGGATGGTGAGAAACCCACTAAATATTTCCTGGGTCTTGAAAAAAGGAATTATGTCAATAAAAATATAAATAGATTAATTAATAGCCAAGGCAAAATTATTAATAAACAAAATGAGATTTTGGAAGAGGTTGCAAATTTTTACAAATCACTCTATAGTAATAAAGAGCAATCATTATAAGATGTAAACCTAAATGATGTAATACATGACTATGATATTAGAAAGGTATCCTCAGAAGCTCAAAAGAAATTAGAATTGGACATAACTAAACAGGAAATACTTGATACATTAAAAAACTTTAAAAATGATAAATCACCAGGTACAGATGGTTTTACTGCTGAGTTTTTTAAATTCTTCTGGGCAGACATTGGTACACTGCTTCTAAAGTCTTTCAAACATAGTTTAAAGTCCGGTCGACTATCAGCTACTCAAAGACAAGGAATTATTTCAATTCTGCCTAAAGGGAATAAACCTAGAGAGTATTTAAAAAATTGGAGACCAATTTCACTTTTGAATATCACTTATAAATTATTATCTGGTGTATTAGCAAGTCGTATTAAACCAATTTTGTCAGAAATAATTCATGAGAATCAAAAAGGCTTTCTTGCAGGACGGTACAATTCCAGACTCCTCTATGATCACTGCTTGAAAAAATAGCTTTACAAAACTTTACTTGCAAAGTAAATCTCATTAAAGGTGCTCCAAAAAGCAAGGTCATCTTTGTATTAACTTTACAAAAAGTAAAGGTGAAAAGGTAACCTTTACTTAAAAGAAAAGGTAATTAAATTTAACCTTTCACCTTTAATGCTGCATTAAAGTTGAGATATATATATATATATATATATATATATATATATATATATATATATATATATATATATATATATATGAAACTTTTTTAAATCCTTGTTTAAATACTGGCCTTTGTTTAATACACTCGTACTTAAGATTTCAACAAATGGTTTTTGACTTTTAAAATAAATAGGTATCTGATGTGTCTTTTGTGTTACCCCCACCTCGTTTTTGTTAAACTCGATCTTACTAAAAATACACAAATTTTCAAGCGTTATATCAATTTCCAGTTGTATTAGTATTAGAGATTGTCATCTACAAAATATAAAAATTTATACTATTTTTGTATACTGTAGATGGACAATCAAAAATGTAAAAATGGTATCAGATATCAGAATATAGATATAATGAACTTTAAAATTCCCTATGACTTAACCTTTAACTCATCTGATTTGTTGATATCTGATAGATGGAGAACTCTTTTTTATTTGCTTTTTGTGTAGATGTATTGAAACCTTTTCTGTTATAATTTCTGCTTCATAAATATCTACCAAAAACAGTTACAAACATTACAAGATTACATCTTTTACTTGAACAGGCAATAAAATGACAAAGAATAAAATTAAAAAAGGTTAAAATACAATACAATATTATTTATCCATTATGGTGCATGTACATGTGTTAAAACTTTGCAGTTTAAATGGAACTAAAAATGCCATACTCAGTTATTACTCAAGATCACTGACGAGAAACTACACAACATAAATCAGGCAAAGTACTAGTATTTCCAACTTAAACTATTAAAGGCTATCTAATGAGTATTTCTGTACAGGTTAATAATGTTGACATCTTGTAAGCATAATGGTGCAATTTACATATTCACAAAATTGCTTAAACACCTATTAGAATATAGGTTCAGATGTAGTTTTGCAAGATGCATAAGTAAATGCATGTGTCCAGCTTCACGCAGTGAGCCTGTTTGAGCTTGACTTTATACTTTGGACTAAATGTTACGTGTATTGCATCTGTGGTAGGAGATTATGTATGTGCTCGACTTCACACTCCTTGGAAAATATGTAACTGGTTGTGGTAGATGCTTGTGTGTTTGCATATGTGTCCAGCTTCACATATTTTTATGTATGTGCTCGACTTCACACGCCTTGGAAAATATGTAACTGGTGTTGTGGAAGATGTTGTATGTGTACATATGTGTCCAGCTTCACACATTTTCATGTATGTGCTCGACTTCACACGCCTTGGAAAATATGTAACAGGTGTTGTGGTAGATGCTTGTGTGTTTGCATATGTGTCCAGCTTCACACATTTTCATGTATGTGCTCGACTTCACACGCCTTGGAAAATATGTAATTGGTTGCGATAGATGCTTGTGTGTTTGCATATGTGTCCAGCTTCACACATTTTCATGTGTGTGCTCGACTTCACACGCCTTGGAAAATATGTAACTGGTGTTGTGGAAGATGTTGTATGTTTGCATATGTGTCCAGCTTCACACATTTTCATGTGTGTGCTCGACTTCACACGCCTTGGAAAATATGTATCTGGTGTTGTGGAAGATGTTGTATGTTTGCATATGTGTCCAGCTTCACACATTTTCATGTATGTGCTTGACTTCACATGCCTTGGAAAATATGTAACTGGTGTTGTGGTAGATGCTTGTGTGTTTGCATATGTGTCCAGCTTCACACATTTTCATGTATGTGCTCGACTTCACACGCCTTGGAAAATATGTAACTGGTGTTGTGGAAGATGTTGTATGTTTGCATATGTGTCCAGCTTCACATATTTTCATGTATGTGCTCCACTTCACACGCCTTGGAAAATATGTAATTGGTTGCGATAGATGCTTGTGTGTTTGCATATGTGTCCAGCTTCACACATTTTCATATATGTGCTCGACTTCACACGCCTTGGAAAATATGTAACTAGTGTTGTGGTAGATGCTTGTGTGTTTGCACGTGTCCACCTTAACACATTTTCATGTATGTGCTCGACTTCAAACGCCCTGGAAAAGTTGTGGTAAATGCTGGAGTGTACTCATATGTGTCATGCTTTGCACAGAGAGAAAAGTTTTGTGTGCTCTTTTCTAGAAAATAATGATTATTTAAATATACTCCGAATACATCCTCTAAAGAAATGGATAATGATATTGAGTTACATACTAAGTTCCTCAGTGCACAATATACACAATTTTACTGAAAATTAAACTTGTGCAAAAACTCTCTTGCTGAATAACTTTCATTATTATAAATGCTTGAATGTTCATCTATATATTTTCAGATATTTTCTAGTCAATGTATATATTCTTGATCATGATGGCATCCATATTTGATTCCCCTCTCTGTCATCTTTTCTTGGTCACCAATTAATTCAACAGTAGGCTGGGTACTCAGATCTCTCAGGTGTTGGACAAAAGGAGTGCTAATAATAAACATAATCTTTGAAATTATAGAGAATAACATCCATTTCTTTTCCAGGTTTGCATTAATTAGTTATCTTTTGAAATTAAAGCACTTCTGCAATAACCTTGAAAACTTGCCAAGATACGTTAAATGTTTGTAGCATGCTTTACTACTTTAATTTTATTTTTGGAAGTTTAGAATAATAGAAATTTATATTACACAATGTTATAACACATTGAAGTCAATTCCTCACCTGACTCTCATAATTTATCTTCATAATGGAGTTGATTCTATGATGATCACTTTCAATCATTTAAAAGAACTTCATCTCAAACTATCTGAAGGTCATCCATCTACCCAACTGCCACTCACCTAAAGTGTACCGAGACTTCTGACCTGTATAATATCAAAATTCAAGATTAAAATTTAAAAAAATCTCTTCACCACACTGGTCTCTTTAAAAAATGTGAGAAATAATTTAAATACTTTTCTGAAGATGAAATAATGTAGTGAGTATCTAACAATGTTTAAAAATATTTTGATCCCTGGACAGTGATAATGTATGAAAAAGTCATGTCCCTTGTATTTGAAAAAAAATTCCATTCTTAAGGACATTACCCAACATGGAAATAATGCACATTTGTCTCTGGCACAACCAAACCACAAGAGACCTTTCCATACTTAGCACCATGCATTAGCTCTCCACTCTTTGTTTCTACAAAAGATAAATTATGAAAAGGTAATTTTTTGACAGCTAAGTCGGATTAATTATTTTCCAGTCCGTGATGAACAGAATATTTGATTTCCTTAATAATGAGGGACAGATTATTCATGTTTATCTTAAATGAACAAAGTTTGACCCCCCCCCCCCCATCGCCACTACAAAAAGGAAAAAAAAAACTGACTCAGAAACTCTAATTTCAGTGAGGTAAAGGAAATAATGGCATCAGACAAAGAAAGATTATTAATCATTTTTTTCAGTTGAGATGAGATTATATCTTTTAAACAGTTTTGAGGTTAATATATTTTAACCCCCCCCCCCCCCCCCCCGCATCAAACAAAAAATAGTCGCCCCTTTATTTAGCTTTCCTAAATCTATAACAAAATTTTTATTATGATTTTTCCATTTTAATTTATTATATCCTGACACTAATACCACCACTATATAGTAGATGCAACAACTTGAGAGGTGACCCCTCTTCTTCCCTCTCTCCCCTAGATGTTTCGTCTAAATGTTAAACGACTGTTGTTCAATATCTTGAAAGACAGAAAACAGTTATACACAAAAAATAAGCACATTTTCATTACCTTGCAGTCAGTGTCGTGTGACACACGTAAACAACATCTCGCAATCTCTTTGTTTATTCTTGGCGGAATTTTTGTTGCCTCGTAGACTGGTTCCCATACATTGCAAATGCCCTGAATAAGTCCTACGCTTATTAGTTTTGTTTATAAGAGGTAATATCAGTAATATGTCCCGTTCATTTGACAACCTTTACTTTAAAATACTGAAATATATTTTATCATATATACGGATGTTTTCCACCTCAGTATTGTGTAATCCTCTTCATCCAAGTCTTCTCGAATACAAAACGAACGATCTACTTTTAACAGTAACCCAAATATGGCACTGTGTATTCCAATGAATAGCCAATCATTTCAAATCAAGTTGAGCGGGTCTCATCGGTATTTTCGACGAAAATATGCAACCAGTGATCAGTTGAATTGATACCTTTTCATCTACCAGAAGATTTAAGGAGGTTATTGCTTGGAAAACTGTTCGAGCTCCCGGGCTGGCATGCACTGCAGGTTTGTTTACGTTTTCCATCTGTTTTCAGCATACATTGTGAAACATTGAAACTGATGAAAGTGAGGAAAAACTACGCTAAATATGTGTTTTTAGTTAAGTAACTTGATAAATTGGGGATAATGTTCCATTTTTTTTTGTAAATGATCATGAATTAAACAAGACCAAGGAAAACAATTCTAGGTCACAATTTCAGAATGTTTAGCTGCTTACATTAGTGCTAGGAAAAAAATGTAGAAGCCAGGGTATGGCAATGTTTTTAATAGAGGACAAATTAGGTTATATTTTATAGATATTATTTTGTATTCTAAACCATGTCCATTTTCAAAAACAGGTACAGTGAAATCAATTATGCAGGTTCTTGAAGAAAGTCGTGGATGACAACAATGTATGATTTACCAGACCAAGGGATCCCAATGTTTTTTGATGGTACTTGTACATATTAGTTTTTAAAAAAATCAATAAATAATATCATAAAAATGTTACTTAAACAATTATTTAAATTATCAATTGCTTGACTTTTTCGGGAGTCAGTATAATTATACATTTCTGTTTTCAAAAAATGTGTTATTACTTTTTCCAGGCTCCAGCTACTCAGCTTACTGTGAGAGAGTTAACACCTTATTGACATATCTTTCATGAAGAAGAAACACTTGAGAAGAGTTCAAGAGTTTAATTTTATAGATGGCAAGTGTTGCTTAGACCTAAAGTATTCTTTAATTGTGAAGAAAACAAACATAAGGGTGTTCGGCAATTCATAACTATTAACTGTGATTGCATTGTGTATTTTTAAAATCATTCTTTGGTATGCTTCAAACTCAAAAGTATTAATGAAAACATTGGCTATATTTATCCAGATGTATGAAATGTTTATCAAAGTATAAATTCCATTTTAGCCTGTTATCTTCAAAATGAGGGACCTGTCAACTTTTACAATTCCAAGATCAGGAAATAATTCATGAGCAGCAACATGCTACTGGGAGAAAGGTACATATATCCTAAACCATAACTTGAATATCATACTATAGCTCTATAAGCAGCAACTATTGGTCTTTTTGTTACCTGATGACTAAGAAGGAAAATGGAGTTAATTATATGTGTTCAGTAATTATTCATAGATACTGATGCCAGTTCTTTTTCACAAATTATCTTGCAAGTAAGACAAACATTTTCTCAATTCTGCAAAAGTATCTTATCTACAGAAGGTCACGAGAAATCTTATTTTACTCCTACATTAGTATATTTTGTAAATAATCCTTTCAAAAGAAAAATTAGGTAATGATAAACAAAGAAATTACAGAGTTATTAAATTTTAATCTTAGGGGTAAGATAAGGGCTAGTGGCCCAGTCCATTTATATCATAAAATAAGTTAATAGCAACATGTTCATCAGTTTGTATCTGTCTTATTTAATAAGATTAACATAGTCTTTTTGGTGAAAATAAAGGCTGACATTAATGGTTCAAAATATTTTCTTTTTGAGGTTAAAGGTCATGTATGAAATTTTTATCTACAAGTATTAATATGGTTGCATCTCGTTTCAATTTTCATTAGTCACGATACTGTGAATACTGATATCTCAGTTTATTTGAATTTATAACACAGATGCCTATGAAAATATTCATGTCACTGAAAATATATATATATTTTTTTTTTCTTTTAAGGAAAACAGTAGAAGACTGCCTGCATGAGAATAAAAGTTTTGGACTCTGAAAAGGAATATGTGACAAAATATATATTTGGACAGTTGTTGATTTCCACAGAAACGCATGTCGAGTAACAAAAAAGTGGAGCACAGTTTCATGTCAATTCAAATCTTTAAATTCAAGGATGAACAATTGGTTCTTTATAAAACAAAATGACATGTTTGAAAAGGATTTTAGTGCAATGTACTCTGTCCTGGATACTTATCTATGTGTATGGGATTTGCAGGATAGACTATGAACAACAGATACTGTCAAGAAATTTGATGTTGTTGATTATATGTTTGTATAAAAATGTTTAATATAGTAATAAACAAAGTTTAAGTCAATCTGTTGTTACTTTGTATATTAAGTATGATGTCCAGACTTCTTTTGCAGTTTCAATTTGGAAGGAAAAGCTTATTTATCATATGCACAAGCTTTATTCAAAAGAATGGAAAACAGTAATTAACTTTTGTGGCTATTAAAGATGTTATTTAATTAAATTTAATATTTGTAATTATCAGATTTAATGTACCCCAAATACTGTGTTTAATGTTTGTAAATATTAACTTTACTTTTTTGTAAAGTCAAGACAATGTGGGACATTACATCATATTTAAGTGCATGTAAAGTTAATGTAAATGTTACCTTTTCCAACTTTGACTTTTTTCAGAAAAGCCAATTAAAGGCATTGTAAATAATAAATTTACATTATCTTTACTTGTTTTGTAAAGCCAAATTTTCATGCAGTGGATATTATACATTATTGTAATGAAAACAATAAACCTGGATTAGTCCTCCTCATTGACTTTGAAAAGGCTTTTGATTCGGCCTCATGGAAATTTATTTTTAAAGTCTTAGATTTTTTCAATTTTGGTGATTTTTTTATAAAGTGTATTAAACTTCTTTTTCAAGATGCCAGATTGTGTGTAATACAGAATGGCATTTTTTCTGAATTCTTCAATATAGGTAGAGGATGCAGACAAGGTGATCCAATTTCTCCATATTTATTTCTCCTTTGTGCTGAGATAATGGGTATAATGATAAGGAATAATTCGTTAATCAGGGGCATTACTACAGTGAGTAAGGAATTTAAATTGCTTCAATATGCAGATGATACAGTATTGCTACTAGATGGTTCCAAAAACTCTTTAAAATCAGCTCTCTCTCTTGTTGATCAAATCTCAAAGTTCTCTGGACTAAAACCTAACTATGAAAAAACACAGTGTATTAAAATAGGATCACTAAGAAACAATTTGAGGTTATCAGATGAATTCAAAAACTTAAACTGGTCTCAAAAACCCATTACTGTTTTAGGAATAACATATTGTGTAAATCTAGAAAGTAACTCTATGTTGGAATTAAACTTCACACCGAAACTTAAAGAAATAAAAGCACTCATATGTTTATGGTCACGCAGAATGTTATCAACTGCAGGAAGGATTACTGTGGTTAAATCATTGATTCTTCCAAAAATTACACACTTGTTAATTAGTTTACCAACTCCCCCAAAAGAAAAATTGAAAGAAATCGAAAATATTTTTTATCAGTATATATGGAACTTTAAAACTCCAAGAGTTGCAAAGAGTGATATTATTCAAAGCTATGAAAATGGAGGTTTCCAAATGATTTGTCTTGATACTTTTGCTAAAAGTTTGAAAATTACATGGGTTCGCCGCTTTTATGATGATACATGTAAATCCGGCTGGAAACACTTGATAGTTGAAACTTTGCCTAATGCATCACAGATAACAGTTTTTGGACCTTCTTTTTTGCAAAAGCTTATTAAAACCAGTACAAATATTTTTTGGATTGATGTTTTTTCAGCTTTTTTAGAATTAAGAAAGTGTATCGAGACTCACTGTATTTTGAGTCCTGTGTGGTTTAATGAATCAATATGTATTAATAACAAAAGTGTATTTTATAAACAATGGTTTGAAAAAGGTGTTTGTTACATACTAGATTTTTACAATTACACAGGTGAATTAATGTGTTATGAAGAGTTCTGTAATCAGTACAATTTCTATCCACCATTTACCTTGTATTACGGGATTATAAATAGTATAAAGAAACTAGACTTATATTACAATACAGAGTATATTGTTAATAACTTACCTTTTTACCCACAATTTTTGCAAATAATTAGAAAAAGTAAAAAGGGCTCAAAGGATTACTACAATGTATTTTTGAATCAAAGTTGGAAAAAACCTAAATGTGAAATAAAATGGGAAAAAGAGTTTAATCTAGATGTGAACAGTAATTGGTGGAAAACTAAAAATAGTCTTATTTTTAAAGTTACAAATGACATGCAACTTAGATGGTTTCAATACCGCATTATGCACAGAATTCTTGCAACAAACACATTTTTAAACAAGATTGGGATTGTAGAATCAGAATTATGTACTTTTTGTAATGTACATCCAGAATCACTGGGACATTTATTTTGGGAGTGTGAATGTGTAAGTGAGATCTGGGAAAAAAATCAAGATTGGATAAAAGAACTATCTGGAATTTATATTGTAATGAATAAATTGGACATTATTATTGGAAAAGATGATAAGTATTATAACATTACATATCTAATAACATGTATTGTAAAGAAGCACATATACCGAAAAATATGTTTAAAACAAATTCCTTCATTTGAAGGAGCTAAAAACGAAATTTTGTATTATTATAAATGTGAGAAATATATTTACAAGAAAAACTGTGATATTGAGAAATTTGATAGAAAATAGAACTGTCTACCATTAGAACATGTACTGCATAATTGTTTTGTTTGAGATGAACCCCCTGTTGCTCAAACTACTTATTATTGAAACAATGATTTTTTGTTTTTTTTGGTAAAATTTAGATAATTAATCTTGCATATATATGTCTTGTATGGCTGAGGTGTGAATGTTGGCTTTTCTTTCCCTTTTTTGTATATAAAAAATTCACCTGTCACAAGATGTTTAGTATAGGAACTTTGTCAGATTAGTTTGCAGAATCCAAGGCTCCCCAAACTTGGCTGTAAACTTATTGATCATCATATTCATGTGATGGGGTAATAAAAAAAAAAAAGAAAAAAAAAGAACCGAAGATGCATATATAGGGCCTAAAAAAATTATATTTGTTTCCTGTAATAACCAGACTGACCCATTCAATTTACCCCCGGGTGAATTTTTTTCCTGCCAAAACTGTGTTTGCTCTTTGGTTTGATCAATCAGCTGATTCTTTTTATTCAAAAAATATTAATTGTATCTTTTATTTGAGATATAAAATATGCAACTTAGTCAACATTTACCTTAAATATAAAGAGTGAACAATTCCCCCCACAACTTTTTGAAGTTCGTTTTCTGCCGCTAGGCAGCCATGTTGGGTGCCCACTGTAAATATTTTTAGGTCTAGAAAGTGTAAAAGAAGCAAAACAACAAAGAAAATAATATATTATGTATTTTATGTATTCATGTTAAAGAAATAAATGAAATTATTGTAATAAAAAAAAAAAAAAAAACAAAACAAAAAAACTTTTAAAAATCTTTGTATCACATAAGAACAAATTAGATTACTGGAGTGCCACACCAGAATGGAAAGTCCCCCCCCCCCCCCCCAAAAAAAAAAAATCACCGTTGATTGAATATTTACAAAAAATCAAGATTAGCGACTTCCGCCAGCCCTCAATCCTGGACTTTAATTTATCGTGGGGAAGGAAAATAAAAGTTAGAACTTAAAATTAATTTATTTTTTTACTGCAGGCATCGGAGTAGAGATCACGAATGTATGCTTTTTTTTTTTTTGCATAGCTACAAGATTTTTCCCCTGAATAAAAGTTTAAGGGAAAAAACGCTATTTTTGATTTGAATTTTCCTCTGCCTCAGGTTTTAATAATGAAATCACAGCTATCATTTTCTCTACGCAATTTTAAATCGCACTGTAGGTTCATGGGAGAAAAGTCGTGAATTCATTCCTCCTATTCTTCAGATTAAGCCAAAATTGAAAGAAATGTTTGTTTCTTCGAAAGGAGTATAATTCAGGGTCAGTAAGGTCGATAACTTGTAAACACTTAATTGTATTAAATGACGTTAAACTGTTATTATTTATCTTTATTAAAATGTATGTGAACCTGGCTTTGGGCTTTTTACATTGTGAAGTAATGCATTACATTACCATTACTTCAAGAATTTGGGCATTAAATTACCATTACCATTACCGGTACTTTGCATGAAAATTTGGCTTTACAAAACAAGTAAAGATAATGTAAATTTATTATTTACAATGCCTTTAAGTGGCTTTTCTGAAAAAAAGTCAAAGTTGGAAAAGGTAACCTTTACATTAACTTTACATGCACTTAAATATGATGTAATGTCCCACATTGTCTTGACTTTACAAAAAAGTAAAGTTAATATTTACAAACATTAAACACAGTATTTGGGTTAAATCTGATAATTACAAATATTAAATTTCATTAAATAACATCTTTAATAGCCACAAAAGTTAATTACTGTTTTCCATTCTTTTGAATAAAGCTTGTGCATATGATAAATAAGCTTTTCCTTCCGAATTGAAACTGCAAAAGAAGTCTGGACATCATACTTAATATAAAAAGTAACAACAGGTTGACTTAAACTTTGTTTATTACTATACTAAACATTTTTATACAAACATAATTATAATCAAAAACATCAAATTTCTTGACAGTATCTGTTGTTCATAGTCTATCCTGCAAATCCCATACACATAGATAAGTATCCAGGACAGAGTATATTTCACCAAAATCCTTTTCAAACATGTCATTTTGTTTTATAAAGAACCGATTGTTCATCCTTGAATTTAAACATTTGAACTGACATGAAACTGTGCTCCACTTTCTTGTTACTCGACATGCGTTTCTGTGGAAATCAATAACTGTCCAAATATATATTTTGTCACATATTCCTTTTCAGAGTCCAAAACTTTTATTCTAATGCAGGCAGTCTTCTACTGTTTTCCTTAAAAGAAAAAATATATATATATTTTCAGTGACATGAATATTTTCATAGGGATCTGTGTTATAAATTCAAATAAACTGTGATATCAGTATTCACAGTATCATGACTAATGAAAATTGAAACAAGATGCAACCATATTATTACATGTAGATAAAAACTTCATACATGACCTTTAACCTCAAAAAGAAAATAATTTGAACCATTAATGTCAACCTTTATTTTTACCAAAAAGACTATGTTCATCTTATTAAATAAGACAGATACAAACTGATGAACATATTGCTATTAACTTATTTTATGATATAAATGGACTTGGCCACTAGCCCTTATCTTACCCCTAAGATTAAAATTTAATAACTCTGTAATTTCTTTGTTTATCATTACCTAATTTTTCTTTTGAAAGGATTATTTACAAAATATACTAATGTAGGAGTAAAATAAGATTTCTCGTGACCTTCTGTAGCTAAGATACTTTTGCAGAATTGAGAAAATGTTTGTCTTACTTGCAAGATAATTTGTGAAAAAGTACTGGCATCAGTATCTATGAATAATTACTGAACACATATAATTAACTCCATTTTCCTTCTTAGTCATCAGGTAACAAAAAGACCAATAGTTGCTGCTTTTAGAGCTATAGTATGATATTCAAGTTATGGTTTAGGATATATGTACCTTTCTCCCAGTAGCATGTTGCTGCTCATAAATTATTTCCTGATCTTGGAATTGTAAAAGTTGACAGGTTCCTCATTTTGAAGATAACATGCAAAAATGGAATTTATACTTTGATAAACATTTCATACATCTGGATAAATATAGTCAATGTTTTCATATATACTTTTGAGTCTGAAGCATACCAAAGAATGATTTTAAAAATACACAATGCAATCACAGTTAATAGTTATGAATTGCCGAACATCCTTATGTTTGTTTTCTTCACAATTAAAGAATATTTTAGGTCTAAGCAACACTTGCCATCTATAAAATTAAACTCTTGAACTCTTCTCAAGTGTTTCTTCTTCATGAAAGATATGTCAATAAGGTGTTAACTCTCTCGCAGTAAGCTGAGTAGCTGGAGCCTGGAAAAAGTAATAACATATTTTTTGAAAACAGAAATGTATAATTATACTGACTCCCGAAAAAGTCAAGCAATTGATAATGTAAATAATTGTTTAAGTAACATTTTTATGATATTATTTACTGATTTTTTTAAAAACTAATACGTACAAGTACCGTCAAAAAAACATTGGGATCCCTTGGTCTGGTAAATCATACATTGTTGTCATCCATGACTTTCTTCAAGAACCTGCATAATTGATTTCACTGTACCTGTTTTTGAAAATGCACATGGTTTAGAATACAAACTAATATCTATAAAATATAACCTAACTTGTCCTCTATTAAGAACATTGCCCCTACCCTGGCTTCTACATTTTTTTTCTAGCACTAATGTAAACAGCTAAACATTCTGAAACTGTGACCTAGAATTGTTTTTCTTGGTCTTGTTTAATCCATGATCATTTACAGAAAAAAAAAATGGAACATTATCCCCAATTTATCAAGTTACTTATCTAAAACTCATATTTCGCGTAGTTTTTCCTGACTTTCATCAGTTTCAATTTTTCACAATGTATGCTGAAAACAGATGGAAAACGTAAACAAACCTGCAGTGCATGCCAGCCCGGGAGCTCGAACAGTTTTCCAAGCAATAACCTCCTTAAATTTTCTGGTAGATGAAAAGCTATCAATTCAACTGATCACTGGTTGCATATTTTCGTCAAAAATACCAGAAAATACCGATGAGACCCGCTCAACTTGATTTGAAATGATTGGCTATTCATTCGAATACACAGTGACAGTGCCATAGTTGGGTTACTGTTAAAAGTAGATCGTTCGTTTTGTATTCGAGAAGACTTTGATGAAGAGGATTACACAATACTGAGGTGGAAAACATCCGTATATATGATAAAATATATTTCAGTATTTTAAAGTAAAGGTTGTCAAATGAACGGGACAAATTACTGATATTACCTCTTATAAACAAAACTAATAAGCGTAGGACTTATTCAGGGCATTTGCAATGTATGGGAACCAGTCTACGAGGCAACAAAATTCCGCCAAGAATAAACAAAGAGATTGCGGGATGTTGTTTACGTGTGTCACTTGACACTAACTGCAAGGTAATGAAAATGTGCTTTTGTTGTGTATAACTGTTTTCTCTCAAGATATTGAACAATAGTCGTTTAACATTTAGACGAAACATCTAGGGGAGGGAGGGAAGAAGAGGGGTCACCTCTTAATTTGTTGCATCCACTATATAGTGGTGGTATCAGTGTCAGGATAAATAAATTAAAATGAAAAAAAATCAATAAAAATTTTGTTATAGATTTAGGACAGCTAAATAAAGGGGCGACTATTTTTTGTTTGATGCGGGGGGGGGGGATAAAAATATATTAACCTAAAAAATGTTTAAAAGATATAATCTCATCTCAACTGAAAAAATGATTAATAATCTTTCCTTGTCTGATGCCATTATTCCCTTTACCTCACTGAAATAAGACTTTCTGAGTCAGTTTATTTTTTCCTTTTGTAGTGGCGATGGGGGGGTTGGGGGGTTGTCAAACTGTTCATTTATAAGATAAACATGAATAATCTATCCCTCATTATTAAGGAAATCAAATATTCTGTTCACCACTGACTGGAAAATAATTAATCCGACTTAGCTGTCAAAAAATTACCTTTTCATAATTTATCTTTTGTAGAAACAAAGAGTGGAGAGCTAATGCATGGTGCGAAGTATGGAAAGGTCTCTTGTGGTTTGGTTGTGCCAGAGACAAATGTGCATTATTTCCATGTTGGGTAATGTCCTTAAGAATGGAATTTTATTTCAAATACAAGGGACATGACTTTTTCATACATTATCACTGTACAGGGATCAAAATATTTTTAAACATTGTTAGATACTCACTACATTATTTCATCTTCAGAAAAGTATTTAAATTATTTTCTCACATTTTTTAAAGAGACCAGTGTGGTGAAGAGATTTTTTAAAATTTTTATCTTGAATTTTGATATTATACAGGTCAGAAGTCTCGGTACACTTTAAGTGAGTGGCAGTTGGGTAGATGGATAGTTTGAGATGAAGAAGTTCTTGTAAATGATTGAAAGTGATCATCATAGAATCAACTCCATTATGAAGATAAATTATGAGAGTCAGGTGACGAATTAACTACAATGTGTTATCACATTGTGTAAATGAATCTTCATTATTAAGATCTTTTACATTTTATTTTTATATTTGAACTTGTTTTTCTATTATTCTAAACTTCCAAAAATAAAATTAAAGTAGTTAAAGCATGCTACAAACATTTAACGTATCTTGGCAAGTTTTCAAGGTTATTGCAGAAGTGCTTTAATTTCAAAAGATAACTAATTAATGCAAACCTGGAAAAGAAATGGATGTTATTCTCTATAATTTCAAAGATTATGTTTATTATTAGCACTCCTTTTGTCCAACACCTGAGAGATCTGAGTACCCAGCCTACTGTTGAATTAATTGGTGACCAAGAAAAGGTGACAGAGAGGGAAATCAAATATGGATGTCATCATGATCAAGAATATATACATTGACGAGAAAACATCTGAAAATATATAGATGAACATTCAAGCATTTATAATGATGAAAGTTATTCAGCAAGAGAGTTTTTGCACAAGTTTAATTTTCAGTAAAATTGTGTATATTGTGCACTGAGGAACTTAGTATGTAACTCATTATGATTATACATTTCTTTAGAGGATGTATTCGGAGTATATTTAAATTATCATTATCTTCTAGAAAAGAGCACACAAAACTTTTCTCTCTGTGCGAAGCATGACACGTATGTATACACTCCAGCATTTACCACAACCACAGTTACATATTTTCCAGGGCGTTTGAAGTCGAGCACATAAAAGAAAATGTGTTAAGCTGGACACATATGCAAACACACAAGCATCTATCACAACCAATTACATATTTTCCAAGGCATGTGAAGTCGAGCACATGCATGAAAATGTGTGAAGCTGGACACATATGCAAACACACAAACATCTACCACAACACCAGTTACATATTTTAAAACTGGTTAATCCTTACAGAAAGAACTACGGAAGTAAATTATGGCAACAATAAGGAGTGGTAAAGGAGATGGAGAAGTAGGTAACATACATTTTAAATGCATTTTTTATTGAATAATATAAGTCAAATGTTAATTAAAAACTATAATAATTTGCAAAGCACTAAGTGAGACGTATTAAATATATGCAATGATGCATCCTTTATAAGAGGTGATTAGATCAGAGGCTGATCTAAGCCAGGAGGAATTGGATACATTTTTTTGAAAAAGTGTCTTACAACCCAGACTTCCAGGTAACATATGCTTACATAATTCTTCATTCTGATACGGTTCGATTTTAATATATCTCTTTATAATGACGGAACCATGTGAATTTTGTATTTAGTTACCAGCAAGCGACCGCTTTGATGTCAACCCTCACAATCCTCAACTTATGAGGATACGGATGAGGAAAATGGGTGGACACTTTCCCCATGTTGTGAATTATCAACCGAGGAGGAAAATTAATATCAAGAAAAGGGTAAATACAGTTTTCTATACACAAATGCTCATAGAAATTGAATCATTAAACAAAAAAAATTCTTTATCCCTTTGATACAAAAAACAATAGAGGAAGATGAAGAAGAAGATGAAGACTTTAAAAGAGCAATGGAAGAGGCAGAAAAAGATGACGATCCCGATTATGTTCCGAAGAAGAGGAGGAGGATGACGGAGGTGACTTAGAGGAGGAGATATTCAAGATTGCGAAAGCCAGAAGGTTGTCCATTCCTCTAGTCCTCTGTTACGAAGTAAGCAAAACAACAGAACAGGTTTATAATTTATAAACTGTAAACATCTCAATTAACTATTTCTCACAACAAACCAGATGTAGCATTTTTGAGGGTTCAATGACACTGGAAGCATACATCTATTTACAAAATATCCATTGTTGCTTTCTAACCAAAAACTTCGACATCAATGATCAGTCCTAACCCAAGTCCTGACCCTGTTCTCCAGCCTTGCCGGACTAAGGGGTGTGAAGTCGAGCACATACATGAAAATGTGTGAAGCTGGACACATATGCAAACACACAAGCATCTATCACAACCAATTACATATTTTCCAAGGCATGTGAAGTCGAGCACATGCATGAAAATGTGTGAAGCTGGACACATATGCAAACACACAAGCATCTACCACAACACCAGTTACATATTTTCCAAGGCGCGTGAAGTCGAGCACATACATGAAAATGTGTGAAGCTGGACACATATGCAAACACACAAGCATCTATCACAACCAATTGCATATTTTCCAAGGCATGTGAAGTCGAGCACATGCATCAAAATGTGTGAAGCTGGACACATATGCAAACACTCAAGCATCTACCACAACCAGTTACATATTTTCCAAGGCATGTGAAGATGGACACGTATGCAAACATAATCTCCTATCACAGACGCAACACACGTAACATTTAGTCCAAAGTATAAAGTCAAGCTCAAACAGGCTCACTGCGTGAAGCTGGACACATGCATTTACTTATGCATCTTGCAAAACTACATCTGAACCTATATTCTAATAGGTGTTTAAGCAATTTTTTTTCTTTATTTTGTGAATATGTAAATTGCACCATTATGCTTACAAGATGTCAACATTATTAACCTGTACATAAATACTCATTAGATAGCCTTTAATAGTTTAAGTTGGAAATACTAGTACTTTGCCTGATTTATGTTGTGTAGTTTCTCGTCAGTGATCTTGAGTAATAACTGAGTATGGCATTTTTAGTTCCATTTAAACTGCAAAATTTTAACACATGTACATGCACCATAAAGGATAAATAATATTTTATTGTATTTTAACCTTTTTAAATTTTATTCTTTGTCATTTTATTGCCTGTTCATGTTTGTAACTGTTTTTGGTAGATATTTATGAAGCAGAAATTGTAACTGTTTTTGGTAGATATTTATGAAGCAGAAATTATAACAGAAAAGGTTTCAATACATCTACACAAAAAGCAAATAAAAAAGAGTTCTCCATCTATCAGATATCAGCAAATCAGATAAGTTTAAGGTTAAGTCATAGGGAATTTTAAAGTTTATTATATCTATATTCTGATATCTGATACCATTTTTACGTTTTTGATTGTCCATCTACAGTATACAAAAACAGTATAAATTTTTATATTTTGTAGATGACAATTTAACACTAAATACAACTGGAAATTGATATAACGCTTGAAAATTTGTGTATTTTTAGTAAGATCGAGTTTAACAAAAACGGGGTGGGGGTAACACAAAAGACACATCAGATACCTATTTATTTTAAAAGTCAAAAACTATTTGTTGAAATCTTAAGTACGATTGTATTAAACAAAGGCCAGTGTTTAGATAAGGATTTAAAAAAAGTTTCATATATATATATATATATATATATATATATATATATATATATATATATATATATATATATATATCAACTTTAATGCAGCATTAAAGGTGAAAGGTTAAATTTAATTACCTTTTCTTTTAAGTAAAGGTTACCTTTTCACCTTTATTTTTTGTAAAGTTAATACAAAGATGACCTTGCTTTTTGGAGCACCTTTAATGAGATTTACTTTGCAAGTAAAGTTTTGTAAAGCTGTTTTTTCAAGCAGTGTCAGTTTCTTAAAGTAATGCATTACATTACCATTACTTAAGCAAAGTAATGCATAACCATTACTTTTGGAGCTTTTTCAAAAATAAAAACAAAACTTTGCAACTATTTTCATAATATGCACCCCATCCCTTCAAAACTAAACATGATGAATGCAGATAATTCAAATCTAATTTCAAGTACTTGTATGTATTACACTGTAAATAATTTGCATATATTTTTTTATTATATTCATAAGAAGTTCAAACTTTTGAATCGCCAATAAGATAAAAATTAAGATGTACAATATGCACTTTTTGTGTAAACTATTTATGTCATAAAGCAATCTAACTTTTGGGGCAATTTACTCCCTCCCAAAAACTAAAACTGAAATTAATAAGACATATAAGATTATGTGGATCTAGTACCTTAAATTATGACAAAAATTAAATGCATTGACAAACTTGTAAAAAAAAAAGGGTTGGACAGTATGTACATTTCTTCTAAAAGTAGAATGTCAGTCTTCTATTCCGATTTGATATGGTCAGCTCAAGCTAGACTAGCTCAATTAATGTTTCTATGAAACTATTACACTTATTAGTTCGACGTAAGGATAAACTCATAAATGTAAAATTCTAAACACTAAGCCGAACGGGCGTTATCACACAGAAACATAGGTACCGTATATACTCGCCTATAAGTCGGTTTTTGGGTATTAAACTTTGGTCCAAAACTCTTTATCCGACTTATAAGAAGATTGATATTTTAGGGAGTCAGTCCTTCTAATTTAAGCTTAAAAAATACAACCGACTAGTTATAAGCTAGTATATACATTTTTGTATAAAGAAATTGTGTATAAATATAAAATACAATATTTTCGTTACAGTGGATCAACCACCCAAATCAAATGTATAAAACAAGTACTTGATCAGTGCAAATCAGAACCTATAGCCCTGCCCTTGTTCTCAGCAAAGGAATGAATACCACGGACCTGTTGAATAAAGAACGAATACATTGGGGATGTGGTCAGGAAGAAGAAATATAATCTATCTTGAATCACAGCACTTGAAAGACAATATTCAACAGAAAAAGACAACAACTACTGCACCGGTTGTTTCACTCAATACAAAAAAAAGAGAAAATGTTGATTGACCTTTTTGTTTTCTGTTTGCAAAAGGAGTTTCTGGTTAAGGTTTTATAAGTCACGGAATTTCAGTTTGGGTTACATGTATCCCCCCCCCTCCCCTCCTAAAATTTAAACTGCTTCCTACGGACTTTTTGTTACTATCATTTTGCTCTGAATTTCGATTACTACTTGGAATAAAAGAAACAGACGGTAAATATTATTTCAGATTAAGATCAGTATTGAACAAGATGTCTTTTTTAAGTCTTGTTCAAAGTGACAGGCATATTATTTGATTACTAAGTAATTACTAAATAATTATGTTTTATTGCAGACCAGAACAGTGGAGACGAGGGCCAAAAGACCAGCCTGATTATGATTGTATTAGCTTGCAAGTCTGCCTTGAAAATTCATTATTAATTACAAAACATCTTTTACTTATATTGAAGTAAATAAAGTATGATCATCAAGATTTTTTTTTATTTTCCCTTCTTAGTGTTATTTGCAGCATTTGCTAAAATTGCCACTTTTGGTAAAGGTTTACAAATTTCATTCAATGAGAAAGATGAATGTAGAAGTGATAACTAACATGTAGAAAAATTCAAATACTATGTCTACGTAGATATGTAAAGGCTTCCTGAAGCTTTGAAATGCATTCTAAACATGTTATTATGTCCCCCTCCCTTTGTCGTGTTTGAAGAAAGGAGGGCATATTATTTTGCTGCTGTTTGTCGGTCCACCAACAGTTTCTTTTCATTTTCTACGCAGAGGTTGCACATACAGAAATAAAATTTTTCCATAAGAATATCTAGGTCAAGTTCTGTTTAAGGTACGATCGAGCAATTTTTGACAGTTATGTTCCATCTACTTGTTTGTCAATATCTTGTCTCCTTTTAGAAATTGTTCATACGTAAATCATGCTCTGGCGTAAAGAATCAACTGGGAGACAAAAACCCCATATGTAAGTGATAAAGGTATAATGCTACATACGAGGGGTTATCAAAAAGTTCGTGGACTGATGCGATAAAATTAATACTATGTAGTCTGTGCTTACAAAATTTATGAAAAAGATGAATCAACAAATGTTTAAGAAATGTTGAAAATTTTAACTTGATACGTTGATAATTTGCCAACTTATTCTAAAATAAAAAAGGCGTATGACCACCCGGCGCTGTCGCCGTTTATTTTCATGACAACGTCATTGTTTCTCAATGTCCACTCCGTCTACCTTACACACTTATCTTCATGTGATTACCTGGAGTTAAGTAAGGACTTAAGTCCGTCTTGTTTATGTAACTTTACAATGTCATGAACAGCTGCTTTCACATCGTCGCAAGCCACGGGTTTTGTGTCCGTTCTATTTCCACAAACCCGTGGCTGCCTCCTGCCAAATTCTCTCGTTCTCGCGACTGAATCATTGAATATTTATTAAGTGACGCCAGATTTACCTTGACCAATGAAATCACTCTGTAGCAATTTTTGGTACGCTTAAATGGCGGCGCCCATAATGAAATCATGTTTGCTATGCGTGGCAGATTTATTGAAAAAAAATACGATAGATCCTGAAGAACAGAGGTGAGTAACGTATATTCTAAAATACTTACAAGGTTTTACATTAAAATACAGGGTTTCGAATGTAGACGTTGTGTGGGAACGCTGAATAGCGTTACTCGTTAAGAAAGGAAATTCGAACCGAAGTTGATGTACAGCTCGTGGTTATGGTTACATACAAATACAAGATAGACTGATCATTTTCATTGGTTCTGACTCGAAGCGTCAGATGTTATTCCATTGGTTTAATGTATGTTATTAATATTCATGAGAACGAGAGAAATTTGTAGGAGACAGCCACGGGTTTGTGGAAATAGAATGGACATGGCTTGCGACGATGCTGCTTTCAATGCATATAATATTGTAAAGTATCTATACATAAGGAAAGATCCTCACTTGATTATACCAGAATACTTAGCTTGATGGAGTTCATTTTCTACCAAACATGATCTATGTCACTTTTCGACGTGACTGATTTTTGACACCCTCACTACAAATTGACTTTAACTGTGCATCTTTTACCTCTCTGAATCTTTTTGGCTTTTTAAAACGAGTACTCTGGATGTGTTTTATTTTTCTGTAGCCCGTTTAAACATTCCCTAGATCTATACCAGTTTTTCCAGGTGCGAAACTTTAAAGAATGTTGGAAACAGAAACCTCTCCCCCTTTTTGACGTCATTTTTGAGCCCTTAATTGTTTGTACACTCCATATAGATTTACGATAAAATTTCATAGAATTTACAGAATGGGGTAAAAATTGCTTTTACGGAACAATTGTGTTGTACCACATGCCTGGATTATCACATGCCTGGATTAACCGGATTTTTTGACGACAAATGCTCATATCAAAAGAGTTTTTCTCAGTTGCACTCAGGTAGAAAAAACGTCATTTTTGAGGTTGCGCCGCTTGGACATACCATTTACAGAACAACGCCGTTTGCTCCTTGTCATGATCGTTGATCGGGAAATAACGGAAAAATCCGTCGACAATTCAGTGTGTAAATAATGCCCTAACAATTAGTATGAAGAAAGTCAGTCAGCATTTGACTTAATGAAAGATTGCATTTGCTGACAAGGTCATTGTATCGACCATAGAACTTACGAAGTGATGCCATTAAATGAGACTGCTGATATTCTTGTTTCATCAACTTGTTTGTCCATAACTTACCTCGTTTTAGAAATTTTTCATACGTAGAACATGCTCTGGCGTATCGAATCAACTGAGATATATAAATCCCGTATGCAGGTGATAAGCGTATATTGCTGCATAAGTAAGGAAAGTTGCCGTTTGAAAAGTTAAAGCCATCACGTTTATCATAAAGCTTGGTTGTTAGATTTCCAATAACGTCTTTTTCCAATAAAATATCCTAATATGAAGCAGATGTGTCAGACTCTGTGGTATCTTTTATCTCAAGCTCACCGGGATATATCGTATCGACATAAGAATGGAAATAACCATTGTTAATTGACAATACGTCGTCGATATATCTAAATGTCGAGTTGAAGGCCAAAACAAGTGTTCTCTTCCTTTCACATAAAAGATTTTGAACAAATTCTGCTTCACATGAATACAAAAATAGGTCTGCTAATAACGGGGCGCAATTGGTACTCATGAGAATTCCAACAGATTGTTGGAAGACCTGGTCTCCAAAAACCACATAGATATCATAAAGCTTTGTTGTTAGGTTACCAATAGAGTCTTTTTCTAGTTCTTTTTCTTTGCTTTTTGTTTTGTTTGTTTGTTTTTTTTTTTTGTCTTGCATGGTATGAAATCGAGGAACAGGTTTTGGTCAGGTCTTCAAACACATAGAAAGATGTTTATGCAATTGATTATACTCATGTACTGCTTTCCATCTTTTATGATATTGTGTCTTCCCTTCCATGATGTAAATCTGACAATAATGTCACGGTTTGGTTTTGTATTAAGTCTTCCGACGCTGTGGTTCTGGTCAATGTCTTGCACATTTAGGTTCAGATTCATTGTCTCTTTTACAATCCGATTTACCAGGGCATCTGTGTTCTCACCCTCATTTTCAATGATTCCAGATTTAATAAATTTTGTGTACGTGTGTATTGTTCTAAGTCATCATTCTTTAACTCTAGTTCAGAACATCTCTGCTGTGATTTTCTCAGTTGGTCAGTAAGATTATCGATAGATTTTCTAAGAGGCTCAAGAATACTTTTTAATATTTCTTGCAAACTTAGGAGAAGATGAGTGACAAGTGATTTAGTAACACTTTAGAAGAACAGATACATTCTACAAATTTGGACATAATTTCTGGTTTATTTAAAGCACCCACTACTTTTGCATTAGAGTCTTAATCAAAGTCTTCAAATTCACTACTGTTTTCCCGTTCTCTTTTAGAAAAAAGTTTTGCACTTTGAGTCTTTCCCAAACCTCCACGTTTGTTTTTTGCCCGGTCTAGGCATTTTGTAATTTTTAAAACATAAAATGAACAGAAACACAGTTTGTAGGAAAATTTTTAAATGATATAGGTGAATTCAAACTAGATGACAGATATTACTGACTGCTGAGTTCTTTAACCAGCGAGTGAGTTAGCCATAGGGATTCAATATGGAGGTCAGATTCCTTTGTTCTTTGTGTTGAGAAAAAAACGATAGATCAAAAACACAGACCTTCCTTGTACTCTTTACATTGTGATGATCCCTAGGATATATAAGGATGTTGAAGAGGAATCCCACATCTTTGCAGTCTCCAAATCTCGCATAAAACACTCATTTTAAACATTTTCGCCTGTTCGTTGAACACAACATAGTGGTGATTTGACCCTTGACCTGACGCTGGTTCGATTGTCGTTCGCGTCAAACCGAAGACGTAGATATAAGCACCGGGCATTAAAAGTGAAATTCAATGGTCTTTCGAATGAAACATTAAACAAGAGGCCCAAGGGCCTTAACGGTCACCTGAGTATAATACAACAATTTAGAGGATTCATAAAATAAAATGATAGATGAAGCTTTGTTGCCCAAAAGCAAGAGAAATAGGATGATCAGGATCAATGAAATAATTAGTCTAGTATTCAGTAACAACTCATAAATCAAATTCTAAGCTATCCCCATTTATCACTATCGCAATGCAGACAATTAACAAACTAGTATTAGTTCTTCCATACTACTTTTAACACCATATTGTGACCTCTCACATTGGCCTCTTTTGGTCTTTGAAGAACATTAAATAAGTTATTTTTGTTTCATTTTGATTTATTTATTATTTACAACTCTACCAGGTCGCCTGCGTGACGAAGTGGTTAAAGCGTCTGCTCTAGAGTCGCGAAGTAAGGAGTTGATCCTTACGTCTCGGGTTCGAATCCCACTGTGGGACGTGGAGACCGGTCCTTCGGATGAGACCGTATAAACCGAGATCCCGTGTCGCAGAAGGTGTTGGCACAAAAAAGATCCCTCACTGAACAATGGCCGTAAGTACCGAGTATAGGACAAAATTTGCAGCTCTCCAACGGCAAGTGGTGGCGTCTCCATATGAGTGAAAAATTCTCGAGAGGGACGTTAAAGAACATACAAACAAAAAAAAAAAAACAAAAAAAAACAAGTCTACCTGATCATTAAAACTATCAAAGTATTTTTGTTTTAAACAATTTCATTTTTGCATAATTCTCTTAGTCTATTGACTTTTAAATACATGTACATTATTTACAGTGATTAATTATCAAAAGTGAATGGCAAAGGGGAATAACTTCTCTCAATAAAATACAAACTAATTTTGCGCTGGCCAGGACCAGAACACTTAACAAAATGGTGCTGGTGTTAAAAAATCTGGTAAAAATATCCTTGCTTATTAAAACTTTTATTCTGTTTGCCTTTGATTTGCAGAGGAGCAGAGATGATTTTCA